CTCCCATCCTGTAGGTGCCTTTTTGTTCTGCTGATGGTGTCCTTTCTGGGAAGAAGGTTTTTAGTTTGATGTCATCCCACTTGTTCATTTCTGTTTTTGTTTCCCTTGCCTGAAGAGACGTATTCAGAAAAGTTACTAATGTCGATGTTCAAGAGTTTCTGCCCATGTTTTCTAGGAGTCGAATGACTTCAGGTCTTATATGTAGGTCTTCAATCCATTTCATGTTTACTTTTGTATATGGGCTTAGACAGTGATACAGTTTCATTCTCCTGCATGAAGCTGCCCAGTTTTCCCAACACCACCTATTGAAGAGACTGTCTTTTCTCCATTCAGTGTTGCCTCGCTGTTCTGGATTAATTGACCCCAGGGTGGGTTTATTTCTGGGCTCTTCTCTGTCCTGTTGATCTGTGTAGCTGGAGGTGCTATGTGGATACAAGTTCCCATGTAGGAAGACTTACCTGCTCTGTCCCTTTGCCAGTAGTCAGAGCCCGTCCATGTCCTTCTCCAGTGGCGATGACTTATGTAAAGCCATTTGCTCCTCTGATAATCCTGTCAGGATGCGAGCACTTCAGGCCGTGCAACAGAGTAGGATTAGGCTTGGACCTAGGTTTGTCCACAGGAACACCACAGGGTGGCCCTTCACCTGGTTCTCTTCCCTCAGAATCAGTGCTTATCCCCCTCTCGAGGCCCATCCTTGTCTTACCAGGACTACGGTTTCCTAGGTGACGTATGCTGTCCTCTCAGAGGCGACCATCCAGAGATACCCTTAGTCACAATAGCAGGAAAGCCAGATCAAAGGTGGGTCCTGGGTTCAGTCCCAACCTGCCCCTGATTCTCTACCTCATTGTTTTTCATCTGTGAAATGGAAGTGAATTGAGAGCGAAAATATTCCAGCAGAAGCTGCTGCAAATACTGTTTCAGTGTTCAACCACTTTGGAGCATGTCGACCACAGGAAGCTGACCCAGGGGGAGATTGCCCCTCAACCCAATAGGAATTGCCTTCTTGGAGGGCCATTAGGGTGTCTCTGCCATCAGCTGAAGGGCCATCCTGGTCCCAAAGGCTCCATGAGACTTGGAGTTGTGTGTTAGGGTGGGTCAGCCGCCCCCGGGCTGCCTGTGGGGTGCACTGAGCCAGGTCAGCAGCCTGTAGCCCAGAGTCCTGTCACCTGTGGACACAGGGCTGTGACTGAGCAGGTTGCCCATGTGCACCAGCTTCTAGGCCCATGCTGCCCATTACCTGCTGCCCAAGTTGGGATGTGCCCTAAGGCTCAAGTGTGTATGCATTTCAAAGGCTTAATTTAAAAAAAGAATATAAAAGTGTTGTTAATGATTTATGTTGATAACATTGAAATTACAGTGTTTGGGATATGTTCGGTTAAACGAAGCATATTCTTACAATTTCAACCTGTTTGGTTTTGTTGTGTTAAATGTGACTGCTACAAAGTTAAAAAGTCTGTATGGGGTTCATGTGTGTTTCTGTAGGACAGCTATGGTCTGGAAAGTTCAGAGCCAGATGTTTGGTCTTCTTTGAGGCAGTGTCTACATTGTGGGTGTGCATGTTTTATATGTTTATATGTTAAATGTTTCTTCCTTTCATTGTAATTGGGGCATGTATGTGATGGTCTCCCAGATTCTTACATGCTGACTCAAATCTGTTAGGCGTCAAGGAGGGGAACAGACCCCGAAGAACTAAAGGGGGTCGTGCATGGGGTTGGAAGGGCTGGGTCACCCACTGCCAAGTGCAGGTCGTGTCTGGGCCTCGAGCAGCAGGCACACATGAGGCTGGCCTGCTGGCCTTTTGGCTTCCTGGAGGAGGCTCCCATTGCCGAGCACCAGGAGTTTCCCCTGGCTCTGCTCCTTAGGAGTGTCCTTGGCTCACTGGGTTTTTAAGACGTGACCGAGAAAGGGGGATACTTGAGACAGCACCTCTCTCCTTTCTCTGCTGTGTCACTGTAAGGCCCAGGTGCTTCCATTGCTTTGTTCCCCAGCCCTGGGGCCAGTGACTGTGCCTGGCCACTTTTCCCTGAGACTGCCCCTCTCATGGGACGTGCTGTGTGGGGACCTGGGGTTGCCATCACCCCAGTGCCCGAGTAGGCCTAGAGCCCTCTGGAACCATGTACCCTTCCCTAATCTACCTAATTAATTGTCCACCAAGCCCTCATGATTCTGCATCCTGTATGCATTTCCCTGGGATCTGGCTTCTCCTCCCACCTGGAATACTGCAGACTGCCTCTGCTTTTGCCTCCCTGGTCTCCCCGGACTTTTCCCAAATTGCTCAGATTTGCCTCCTAACCCACAGCCCAGGTAACTGTAGGCTCCAGGGAGCCCCCCGCAACACCCCACGATTGGGAAAAGTTCTGGAATCCCCTCCCCTGTGCCTCAGCCTTGCTGCCTCCTCACCTGACAACCTGCCTGCTGGGCACTGCTCTCCTTTTGATTCCTGGCCCTCCCTGGCATGGATTCTGGACAGCCATGGAGGCCCAGCTGGGAGTGAGTGCCCCTGGCATCCTGCTGCTCCAGCATACACACCCCTCACGTGGGTCCTGATACCACTGAGGGCCGCCTCTCTGTTCCACTTTATTGGGTCTCGTGGTGCTGAGCTGTGATGATGAGTGGCCCTGGGGGGGGGTCATCCTCTTGGGGTCGGAGACTGTCAGCTCCAAGGAGGTGACTCAGGGCTGGAGGGCGATGAGGACGTGCAGTCTGACAGCACAGGCTTGGTGCTGCCGTGCTGTGTACACATGGTGTTCTGTTCTCGGGATGTTGATGGCCTCCTCTTTGGAGTGGGGGCTGTGCTGCCTGCGCCAAGGTGCAGTTGTGAGGATGGCTGGAGACTGAGCACTAGGCTCTGACAAGGGGGCCTTCCCACGCCCTCCTCCTCTGGCTCCTCCCTGCCCTGGTCAGGCGGCTTTCCCTCCTGTGCCGTGTGCCATGAGCCCGGCTCTGACTGCCCCTTCCCGCGGCAGGAGGAGCTGGAGCATCTGAACCAGGCCAGCGAGGAGATCAACCAGGTGGAGCTGCAGCTGGACGTGAGTGCTGCTGCTCCTCGCGCCCTCTGCGGGCTGGTCCCAGGGTCGGGGGCTGTCTGTGTTTCCCTCCCTTTTCCGGGGCTGGGACCCACACACATGCCTCCCCGCTGCCCATGACCCTATCCCTTCACCAGGAGGCCAGGACCACCTATCGGAGGATCCTGCAGGAGTCGGCAAGGAAGCTCAACATGCAGGGCTCCCAGCTGGGGAGCTGCATCGAGAAAGCCCGGCCCTACTATGAGGCCCGGCGGCTGGCTAAGGAGGTAGGCCGGCTGCCTGCTCTCTGGGCAGGCTGCATGCAGAGCCTGCCCTGGGCTCTTGGGCCTCTGCATGAGTGGGAGACAACACTTTTCTCTTTTCCCATCTCCCCTTCCCTTTAGTTCACATCTCTTTCCTTTGCTTCTCCTACCTTCCTTTACCCCTCCTCTTTCTTTCTATACAAATGTGCATTCACTGTTGACAGACTAATTGTAACTAAAATGAGAAGAAAGCAAAGTCACGCCAAATCCTACCAAGCAAATCCTACCAAGCACGTTTAATGATTTTTGTACCTGGGATTTGTTTCAGTCAAGTTCAGTGAAATGACAGACACAGAGACAACTGCCCTGAAAGACGAGTTGATTGCCTGCAACTCCCAAGAAGGGGTACATGCCGTGCGGGTCCCATGGAAAAACACCTGGGTCAGCCAGCAGGCAGAGGGCGCAAGGGGAGGCCTGGCCCGGAGCCTTCCTAGTGGCAGGCCGGAAGTGGGAAGGCCATGAAGGCAGTGCCCAGCAGGCTTAGGCCTGAGGGTGTGGTTTGGATGATTGGAGTGGGCTCAAGTTTCTGCGCCTGGCCCTGGGAGGTGAGGGTGGGGGGGTACTGGCTTGGTGTGGGACACCCAGGGAGAGGAGGCGGTGGCCTTGGATTGGTCGGTCTCCATCTGAAAATGTCCTCGCAGGGGGCTGGCCATGCTGAGGAGGGTCAGCAAGACACCACATGTCAGAGCGTCACAAAACGCAGACAATAAAAACATGATTAATACAGCAGATAACCTGTTTAGTGTTTTATAAATATCCTGCCAAAATAGGATTACACAGTATGTACTGTTTTTATTCCTTTATTTTACTTTGTGACATGGTTGCATGTCAGTAAATAAACATCCATGCCATCCTTTTTAAGAGCTGCTTAATATTTTCTTACATTAGATTACTATTATTGATTTAACCAGTTCCCTGTAACTGAAAACTTAGATTTATTTCCAGATTTTCTGTTGATGTGTGAATGAATATAGAATGACATACTGAATTTCTGTGAGCATGTGTCTGTTTTCTTCCGCTCACCCTCTGGACTGCGCAGGGAGGTCTTGGGTGTACTTTCTGTAAGATTCATCCATGTTGCTAACCACCTCTGGCTTAAAAGGTGTGGATTTCTGTTTTCCCTAAAACAAGGCCAGAGCCTTCTTTTCTTTTTTTTGCTATTTTTTAATTGATTTATTTGATATACAGTATTATATAGGTTCCAAGTATACAACATAGTGATTCAACAGTTATATACATTACTAAATCCTCACCCCAACTAGTGTGGTTACTATCTGTCAACGTAGAAAGATCATGATGGCCATTTTGACTATATTGATTCTTCCTATCCATGAGCACAGGATGTATTTCCATTTATTGTTGTCTTTAATTTCTTTTATGAGTGTCTTGTAGTTTTCAGGGTATATGTCTTTCACCTCCTTGGTTAGGTTTATTCCTAAGTATTTTATTCTTTTTGATGCAATTATGAATGGAAGTCACCTGTGGACACAGGGCTGTGACTGAGCAGGTTGCCCATGTGCACCAGCTTCTAGGCCCATGCTGCCCATTACCTGCTGCCCAAGTTGGGATGTGCCCTAAGGCTCAAGTGTGTATGCATTTCAAAGGCTTAATTTAAAAAAAGAATATAAAAGTGTTGTTAATGATTTATGTTGATAACATTGAAATTACAGTGTTTGGGATATGTTCGGTTAAACGAAGCATATTCTTACAATTTCAACCTGTTTGGTTTTGTTGTGTTAAATGTGACTGCTACAAAGTTAAAAAGTCTGTATGGGGTTCATGTGTGTTTCTGTAGGACAGCTATGGTCTGGAAAGTTCAGAGCCAGATGTTTGGTCTTCTTTGAGGCAGTGTCTACATTGTGGGTGTGCATGTTTTATATGTTTATATGTTAAATGTTTCTTCCTTTCATTGTAATTGGGGCATGTATGTGATGGTCTCCCAGATTCTTACATGCTGACTCAAATCTGTTAGGCGTCAAGGAGGGGAACAGACCCCGAAGAACTAAAGGGGGTCGTGCATGGGGTTGGAAGGGCTGGGTCACCCACTGCCAAGTGCAGGTCGTGTCTGGGCCTCGAGCAGCAGGCACACATGAGGCTGGCCTGCTGGCCTTTTGGCTTCCTGGAGGAGGCTCCCATTGCCGAGCACCAGGAGTTTCCCCTGGCTCTGCTCCTTAGGAGTGTCCTTGGCTCACTGGGTTTTTAAGACGTGACCGAGAAAGGGGGATACTTGAGACAGCACCTCTCTCCTTTCTCTGCTGTGTCACTGTAAGGCCCAGGTGCTTCCATTGCTTTGTTCCCCAGCCCTGGGGCCAGTGACTGTGCCTGGCCACTTTTCCCTGAGACTGCCCCTCTCATGGGACGTGCTGTGTGGGGACCTGGGGTTGCCATCACCCCAGTGCCCGAGTAGGCCTAGAGCCCTCTGGAACCATGTACCCTTCCCTAATCTACCTAATTAATTGTCCACCAAGCCCTCATGATTCTGCATCCTGTATGCATTTCCCTGGGATCTGGCTTCTCCTCCCACCTGGAATACTGCAGACTGCCTCTGCTTTTGCCTCCCTGGTCTCCCCGGACTTTTCCCAAATTGCTCAGATTTGCCTCCTAACCCACAGCCCAGGTAACTGTAGGCTCCAGGGAGCCCCCCGCAACACCCCACGATTGGGAAAAGTTCTGGAATCCCCTCCCCTGTGCCTCAGCCTTGCTGCCTCCTCACCTGACAACCTGCCTGCTGGGCACTGCTCTCCTTTTGATTCCTGGCCCTCCCTGGCATGGATTCTGGACAGCCATGGAGGCCCAGCTGGGAGTGAGTGCCCCTGGCATCCTGCTGCTCCAGCATACACACCCCTCACGTGGGTCCTGATACCACTGAGGGCCGCCTCTCTGTTCCACTTTATTGGGTCTCGTGGTGCTGAGCTGTGATGATGAGTGGCCCTGGGGGGGGGTCATCCTCTTGGGGTCGGAGACTGTCAGCTCCAAGGAGGTGACTCAGGGCTGGAGGGCGATGAGGACGTGCAGTCTGACAGCACAGGCTTGGTGCTGCCGTGCTGTGTACACATGGTGTTCTGTTCTCGGGATGTTGATGGCCTCCTCTTTGGAGTGGGGGCTGTGCTGCCTGCGCCAAGGTGCAGTTGTGAGGATGGCTGGAGACTGAGCACTAGGCTCTGACAAGGGGGCCTTCCCACGCCCTCCTCCTCTGGCTCCTCCCTGCCCTGGTCAGGCGGCTTTCCCTCCTGTGCCGTGTGCCATGAGCCCGGCTCTGACTGCCCCTTCCCGCGGCAGGAGGAGCTGGAGCATCTGAACCAGGCCAGCGAGGAGATCAACCAGGTGGAGCTGCAGCTGGACGTGAGTGCTGCTGCTCCTCGCGCCCTCTGCGGGCTGGTCCCAGGGTCGGGGGCTGTCTGTGTTTCCCTCCCTTTTCCGGGGCTGGGACCCACACACATGCCTCCCCGCTGCCCATGACCCTATCCCTTCACCAGGAGGCCAGGACCACCTATCGGAGGATCCTGCAGGAGTCGGCAAGGAAGCTCAACATGCAGGGCTCCCAGCTGGGGAGCTGCATCGAGAAAGCCCGGCCCTACTATGAGGCCCGGCGGCTGGCTAAGGAGGTAGGCCGGCTGCCTGCTCTCTGGGCAGGCTGCATGCAGAGCCTGCCCTGGGCTCTTGGGCCTCTGCATGAGTGGGAGACAACACTTTTCTCTTTTCCCATCTCCCCTTCCCTTTAGTTCACATCTCTTTCCTTTGCTTCTCCTACCTTCCTTTACCCCTCCTCTTTCTTTCTATACAAATGTGCATTCACTGTTGACAGACTAATTGTAACTAAAATGAGAAGAAAGCAAAGTCACGCCAAATCCTACCAAGCAAATCCTACCAAGCACGTTTAATGATTTTTGTACCTGGGATTTGTTTCAGTCAAGTTCAGTGAAATGACAGACACAGAGACAACTGCCCTGAAAGACGAGTTGATTGCCTGCAACTCCCAAGAAGGGGTACATGCCGTGCGGGTCCCATGGAAAAACACCTGGGTCAGCCAGCAGGCAGAGGGCGCAAGGGGAGGCCTGGCCCGGAGCCTTCCTAGTGGCAGGCCGGAAGTGGGAAGGCCATGAAGGCAGTGCCCAGCAGGCTTAGGCCTGAGGGTGTGGTTTGGATGATTGGAGTGGGCTCAAGTTTCTGCGCCTGGCCCTGGGAGGTGAGGGTGGGGGGGTACTGGCTTGGTGTGGGACACCCAGGGAGAGGAGGCGGTGGCCTTGGATTGGTCGGTCTCCATCTGAAAATGTCCTCGCAGGGGGCTGGCCATGCTGAGGAGGGTCAGCAAGACACCACATGTCAGAGCGTCACAAAACGCAGACAATAAAAACATGATTAATACAGCAGATAACCTGTTTAGTGTTTTATAAATATCCTGCCAAAATAGGATTACACAGTATGTACTGTTTTTATTCCTTTATTTTACTTTGTGACATGGTTGCATGTCAGTAAATAAACATCCATGCCATCCTTTTTAAGAGCTGCTTAATATTTTCTTACATTAGATTACTATTATTGATTTAACCAGTTCCCTGTAACTGAAAACTTAGATTTATTTCCAGATTTTCTGTTGATGTGTGAATGAATATAGAATGACATACTGAATTTCTGTGAGCATGTGTCTGTTTTCTTCCGCTCACCCTCTGGACTGCGCAGGGAGGTCTTGGGTGTACTTTCTGTAAGATTCATCCATGTTGCTAACCACCTCTGGCTTAAAAGGTGTGGATTTCTGTTTTCCCTAAAACAAGGCCAGAGCCTTCTTTTCTTTTTTTTGCTATTTTTTAATTGATTTATTTGATATACAGTATTATATAGGTTCCAAGTATACAACATAGTGATTCAACAGTTATATACATTACTAAATCCTCACCCCAACTAGTGTGGTTACTATCTGTCAACGTAGAAAGATCATGATGGCCATTTTGACTATATTGATTCTTCCTATCCATGAGCACAGGATGTATTTCCATTTATTGTTGTCTTTAATTTCTTTTATGAGTGTCTTGTAGTTTTCAGGGTATATGTCTTTCACCTCCTTGGTTAGGTTTATTCCTAAGTATTTTATTCTTTTTGATGCAATTATGAATGGAATTGTTTTCCTGATTTCTCTTTCTGCTAGTTCATCATTAGTATATAGGAATGCAACAGATTTCTGTGTATTAATTTTATATCCTGCAACTTTGCTGAATTCAGTTATTCTAGTAGCTTTGGGGTGGATTCTTTAGGGTTTTTTATGTACAATATCATGTCATCTGTAAACAGGGACAGTTTAACTTCTTCCTTACCAATCTTGATGTCTTTTATTTGTGTTGTCTGATTCCATGGCTAGGACCTCCAGAACTATGTTGAATAAAAGTGGGGAGAGTGGGCATCCTTGTCTTGTTCCTGATCTTAGAGGAAAAGCTTTCAGCTTTTTGCTGTTATTAAGTATTATGTTGGCTGTGGGTTTGTCGTATACAGCCTTACTATTATGCTTAGGTACATACCCTCTATACCCATTTTGTTGAGAGTTTTTTCATGAATGGATATTGAATTTTGTCAAATGCTTTTTCATTATCTGTTGAGATGATCATGTGATTTTTGCTGCATCCCATGTATTTTAACCCTGTGTTTCTGTTTTCACTTGTCTTGATGTCATTTGATTTGTTCATTTATCAATTAACTATTTTAGAAGCATGTTGTTTAGCCTTCATGTTTTTATTTTTTGTTTTCTTCATGTAATTTCTTTCTAGTTTCATACCATTGTGCCCTGAAAAGATGCTTGATGCAATTTCAATCGTTTTGAATTTGTTGAGGCTCCTTTTGTGTCCTAATATGTGATCTGTTTTGGAGACTGTTCCATGTGTATTTGAGGAAGATGTGTATCCTGCTCCTTTGGGGTGGAGTATTTTGTAGATGTCTGTTAGGTCCCTCTGTTCTAGTATATTGTTCAGTGCCTCTGTTTCCTTATTTGTTTTCTGTCTGGATCTATTCATTGATATAAGTGGAGTATTAAAATCCCCTAATATGATTGTATTGATGTCTTTTTATCCCTTCAGGTCTGATATATTTAAGTGTTCCTATATTGGGTGATAGATATTTATAATGGTTATATCCTGTCGTTGGACTGACCCCTTTGTCATTATGATATGTCCTTCTTTGACCCTTGTTACTTTGTTTTGAAGTCTATTTTGTCGAAGTACTTTTACTCCTGCGTTTTTCTATTGTTTGCCTGAAATGTCTGTTTCCATCCCTTCACTTTCAGTCTGTATATGTCTTTGGGTCTGAAATCAGTCTCTTGTAGGCAGCATATAGATGGGTCTTATTTCTTTATTCATTCTGCCAACCTGTGTCTTTTGATTGGTACATTCGGTCTATTCACATGTAAGGTGGTTATTGATAGGTATTTACTTATTGCCATTTTATTAATTGTTTTCTGGTTGTTTTTAATAGTTCCTCTCTGATCCTTTCTTCCTCTTATACTCTTCTCTTGCTATTTGATGGTTTTCTTGAGTGTTGTGCTTGGATTCCTTTTTTTCAAATTTGGGTGTATCTATTATAGGCTTTAGGTTTGTGGTTACCGTGAGGTTCATGATTTCCTAAATATTATTATTCCTCCTCCACACTTCTTATATGTCATAATCTATGTCTTTTGTGTGTCCCTTTACTAATTTTGTGTATAATTGATTTTACTATTTTTGTGTTTTTATCTTTCTACTTGCTTAGTAACTGGTCTACCACCGTAAATTACTGTAGGTTTATTTTCACTGATGAAAAATATTTAGGCTTAAGAACATTTCCATTTATAGAAGTCCCTTTAATATATCCTGTAAGGCCATTTTAGTTGTGGTGAATTCTTTTAACGTTTCTTTATCTGGGAAACTTTTAATCTCTCCTTCAGTTCTGAACATAGACTTGCTGGGTAAAGGAGTCTGTGTTGTAGGTTCTTCCCTTTTAATACATTAAATAATTTATGCCACTCCCTCCTGGCCTGTAAACTTTCTGATGATAAATCTGCTGATGGCCTGATGGAGTTACCCTTACAGGCAACTGTCTGCCTCTAGCTGCTTTGAAGATTCTCTGTCTCTCATCTTTGTTATTTTAATTATTATATGTCTTGGTGTTGTCCTTCTGGGGTTCCTTTTGTTAGGAGCTCCCTGCACTTCCATGACCTGGGTGCCAGTTTCCTTTCCCAGTTTGGGGAAGTTTTCAGGTATTATTTCTTCAAAGAGACTTCTGATCCCTCTGTCTCTTCTCCTTCTCGGACCCCTATTAAGTGAATACTGTTTCCTTTGGGGTCATCACACAGCTCTCAGTATCTTCTCATTTTTAGTAATTATTTTCTCACTCTGTTCCCCAGCTTGGTTGCTCTGTGTTCTCTATCTCCATCACCCTGATTCTTTCCTGGCCTCCAGCAGTCTTCTCTGCATTCCCTCTATTGTATTTTTTATTTCATTTACTGTATTCTTTAGCTGTGCATGCCTTTTTTCTTTATTTTTCTCTCTCCACTCAATTCTAGCTGAGATCATCAGTTTTTTTCCCCAGGTCAGTGAGCATCTTTATCACTGTTACTTTCAATTATTTATCAAGAAGAACGGAGATCTCCCTTACATTTAGCCCTTTTCCTGGTGTCTTGCTCTTTTATTGGGAACATACTCCTCTGCCTCATTGTGTCTGGCTTTCTGTGTATCTTCCTTTGAAGTAGACAGATGAGCTGTTCTTCCTGGTCTCTGTGAAGTGTCCTGCGCCGTGCAGGAGCTCAGTGGACTCAGCGTCTGCATCTCTTGTGGCCAGCCGCATTCTGCTGTTGGTGGCTCTGGGTGTGGCTGCCTTTATGCCTGTCTGCTGGCAGTAGCTGATCCTCACTGGTCGGCTTTACGTGCCTTTCGTGTGGTGTGAGGCCCTCTGCTGAGAGTCACCGTGGACAGGGCTGTCCCCTGCCTGCCGGTCAGCAGTGGCGGCCTGCTGCTGGGAAGAGTGTGCCTGGCGGGGACAGGCCAACGGGGATTTCCTCACGGGCTGCACCACCAGTGAGGCAGCTATAGAGCTTCAGAACTGGCTCCCACAGGCATGCAACCACTCGGGCTGAGGGGGAGGTGGGGAGGTGTGGTCTGCCCTCCGCCTGCCAGGTGACCATAGCTGGGTCAAGTGGGCCAAGCAGGGTGAGTGTGCAGGCAGCAGCACATTAGGACTGAGCCACCAGCGAGGGAGATGGGGCGTTTGGAGCTGGCCTCATGACTGGCTGACCTGGGGCTGAGGGTGGGCTGGGAAGGTGGCTGCTGTCCATTCTTCTCCCGAGGGAACTCCTTCGACCCTTCTGGCAGACCTCCAGCTGTTGGTAAACCTTTCAAACTACAGTCTCATTGTTGGGTCTCGGTGAGATGACAGAGCTTGCCTGTCTTCCCCAAGGGACAGGAATACCGGCTGCCCCAGAGTGCCCCTGCTCCCCCTGGCGTCAGCCCCATTTGTTACCACAGCCCAATGCAGTGTGGCCTGTGCTCCCACAGATCTCCAGGGCCAGGCCAGGGGTGTGAGGTTCCTGAGCATCCGCTGCCTCCCTGCCCAGTTCTCCCCCTCTGCCTGTGGGATGATGAGTTGTGGCTGTGCCCTGGGCCCTCAGTGCGGCCTCTCCTCCTCCCCAGGTGGAGGTGGGCTGCTCTGCAGTCTCAGGTTGTTTCCAGATTCGTTGTATTTGCCACAGTTTCTTCCTCAGTGTGCCTGTGGGAGGAGGTTTCCATCTGCCTGTACTCTGCCACCTTCCCCACTGGCTACCTCGAGCCTTTGAAAATGCCATATTTCATATACTCTCCACTGGAAATGTTATTTTTTTCAGTCTTTATTTCTACATTTAATTATTTCTTAGGCCATCTGCATACAGAGTATCTCTTATGGAATGTTACCTCTGTGACATTTATCCTTAGTCAGTTTGGGAGTGCAGCTGGTGTACATGGGCCTCTCTCTCCGCCTTGTCCTTGCCCAGGACAGGTCTCCATGGGTGGCCAGTGGTCCTCGGGCCCCTGTCCTGATGGCCTTCTCCCCACAGGCCCAGCAGGAGACCCAGAAGGCAGCACTGCGGTACGAGCGGGCTGTGAGCATGCACAATGCTGCCCGGGAGATGGTGTTTGTGGCTGAGCAGGGTGTCATGGCAGACAAGAACCGGCTGGACCCCACGTGGCAGGAGATGCTCAACCACGCCACCTGCAAGGTGAGGCGGGCAGTGCCAGCAGTCCCCTCTGCAAGTGCCGTCACTTTGCTCTCCCTCCTCACCAGCTTCCTTCAGCTTTGCTGTTTTAGGCACAACCTGTTCTTGCTCTCTGCCCTGTTTGGCCTCCAGGGCTTCCCTCATGTATTTTCTTATGACTTAGAATCTCTCTCTAGGCTCTTCCTGACCTTTGCCTCCAGATGTGGGACTAACCTGAACAGTCCACCCCTGCTGGGTGCTCTGGATTCAGCTCACATTTCATTACATTTGGCTGTTTTCAGGATCATTTTCCTTTCTCTGGCCAGTGCACCTTGAACTTTGAAGTATAACTTGTGTATCATTTCCAAGCTACTCCGAGGGGATCAGGGAGCAAAGTACCCCAGGTGGCACAGTCGGCCTCCATGCCCGTGGAGGAGGCAAGTGTCCTAGTGCATCTGGGCTCCTAGGACAGCACAGCACAGGCCGGGCAGCGTAAACAGCAGGTGTTCTTTCTGCAGTTGGGAGGCGCAGAAGCCACATTGAGACCCAGGCAGACTTGGTGTCCTGGGCCCATTTCTGGGTTCCCAGAAAGCTGGTTGTCTTTGGCATGGCCTCAAGTGGTAGAGGGGGTGTGAGGAGGGAGCTCCCAGGATCTCTTTTATAAGGGTTCTGATCCCAAGCTTGAGAGATTCCCCCTCATAACCTAATCACCTCTCCAATACCATCAACTTAGGGGTTAAGATTTCAACACAGGATTTTTGGGGGGCATAAACACTTAGTGTCCAGCAGTGCCTGCTGCCCAGGGGGGTCATGCCTCAGTTCATGTGCTCTGTGGGCCAGGCCCATGGCCTCCCTCTAAGCGAGCCCACAGAGGAGAGCGCAGCATGGGGCGAGGGCTGCTGAAGTGGTGAGGCTGTGTGCGCACCTGCCCAGGGTGTGCTGAGGCCAGACCCTGGCGCTGGTGGGCGATGTGGCTGCAGTGCCTGGGAACCTCAAGACCCGGCGCACTGCTGGGCTCCCCACGCTGGGGTCCCTCCTACCCTGAGGTCAGCGGCTGGGGTAGATATGCTGTAACTCATGGCACCTCCTGCAGGCACAGAGCTGAGTGGTAGGGGATGTGGACGAGGACCACTGCCCTCTGTGTCTCGGAAGCTCAGGGTCCTCTCCAGGCTGTGCCCACAGTGGAGCTCCCCCAGGGTGACGTTTGGATCGGCAGCCTGGGGCAGATGACAGGCAGTGGTGTGGGTCCCAGCTCAGGGCTGTGCGTCCTCTGCCGCCCTCGGGCCAGGTCAATGAGGCGGAGGAGGAGCGGCTTCGTGGCGAGCGGGAGCACCAGCGGGTGACGCGGCTGTGCCAGCAGGCTGAGGCGCGGGTCCAGGCTCTGCAGAAGACCCTCCGGCGGGCCATTGGGAAGAGCCGCCCCTACTTTGAGCTCAAGGCCCAGTTCAGCCAGATCCTGGAGGTAGCGGAGCAGGCGGCAGGGGAGGGAGGGTGGGTGGGAATGAAGGTCTGGGAGGAGGCCCTGCAGGGCCGAGCCCAGGTCAGCAGAGCAGGATTGCTGGGGAAAGGGGACCCTGGGAAGGGGGGCCCCGGGGGTGGGCGCCGCAGGTGTGCAGTGGGTGGTGAGCAGGACCAGGGCTTGGAGAAGAGACCCCATCCAGAGTGCTAAGTGGGCTTGTGAGATGCCCAACTCCGGGCCCGAGAAGCTGCCCAGAGGGTCACCTGCTCTGTCCCCTCTGCAGGAGCACAAGGCCAAGGTGACAGAGCTGGAGCAGCAGGTAGCCCAGGCCAAGACCCGCTACTCGGTCGCCCTGCGCAACCTGGAGCAGATCAGTGAGCAGATTCACGCCCGGCGCCGGGGTCTTCCCCCTGGGCCTCCTGGCCAACGGCGCTCCTCCCCCGTGGGTGCCGAGGCTGGGCCTGATGGCAGCGAGGACGGGGACAGCGGGATCTTGGAGGGAGCTGACGGAGGTGGCCTGGAGGAGGGTGGCGGCCTGGGGCCCGGGCCCGGCCCTGACACAGACACGCTGAGCCTACTGAGCCTGCGCACCGTGGCCTCAGACCTGCAGAAATGTGACTCCGTGGAGCACCTGCGGGGCCTCTCGGACCATGCCAGCCTGGATGGCCAGGAGCTGGGGCCCCGGAGCAGCGGACGAAGGGGCAGTGACAGCGGGGGCCGTGCAGGCTGCCACCAGCGCAGCATCAGCCTGTAGCTCCGTTCGGCGTGGCTGGTCGTCTCTGTCACTGGCCTGGCGGGCAGGGCAGGCCCCGCGCCCTCTCCTGGGGTCTGGCTTCCCCAGGTGAGGTCAGGCTGGCCAGCTGAGTCCTGCCTGCGCGGCTTCCCACCCCGCACCCGCACCCCCACCCTTCCGTGCAGGTGGCAGCTCTTTGCCTTATCCCTTCAGAGGGCTTGTGTCTGGCGCTCACATCTCCCCTTGCCCTGCTGGCTGCCCACAGTCTGTCTGATGCCCTCTGCTGTTTCTCCTTCCAGGGTCTGGCTTTTTCCTTCAGGGAACTTAGTCTAGGAGGCACAGCAAAGCCTGTCAGGGTGGATGCTAGGCCCTCAGCTGCAGGAACTCCAGGTACCCTTCTCCCGGGGCTCCCTTGGGCTGCTTCAGAGCCCTCCTGGCCACCCTGCGTCCCGGGCCTCTGTCCCATCCTGTGGGTGGCCTGTCGGATGTGCTGTGGAAGACACTCAGCACTCCCTCGGGACCTCAGCCACTTTGCTATGTGTGCCCCAAAGCAGGACGTGAAGGATGGTGGTGTCAGGAAAGGTGAAACCGCCCCAGTGTCAGCATCAGGGACACTCCCCAGTCCGTGCAGGCTCCCGAGTGCATGGTGGTTCCCAGATGGGCTGGGCCCTTAATGCTGCCAAGGTGCTAGTGGGTCTCCAGCAGGGCCCATGTCGGGGGTTGCACTGAGGGCCTGATGGCTGAGGCCTTTGCTGTCTCTGCTGCAGTCAGGTTCACTCTTCTGGGACGAGGAACTGAGGATGCCGGCCGACTCTCAGTGACCTCCTCTGGTGGAGTTAGGGAATCTGGTGCTCAACTGCTGTCCCTTGCTCTTCCCTAAACCAAACAATACCTACTCCCGGACCCCATGGGGGGTGCTCCAGTCTGGCTGCTGAGTCTGCTGATGTGCAGACAGGTTGGCTGGTTTGAAGGGCCCCACTTGCCACTGGGAGCAAGCAGTGTGTCCAACCTGTGTGGGTGGAAAGTGGGGAAGCCACACTGGATCTGGGTGCCTTGGGATAGCCAGTCCTCCGTCCTGCCCCATCCCTGGGGGAGTGAGAGCTGGGCCTTGGGCAGGAGAGCTTGTGCCCAGGCTTGTGCGCTGCTGCCATCGGCTGGGAGGGGTGGGCCTTCACGTGCAGGCGCCTCTCATAGGTCACGATGAGAACCGCCGGGTTTGAGGTGGCCATGGGTGTAGGGAAGCAAGGAGGAATTGGATGAGTGTGCGTGCATGTGCTGGTGTGTGTGTGGGTAAAGGGTCTGCCATTGGTTTTATTTAAATAAAATAGTTTATGTATGTAGCAGTAATGCTTGCTGTCCCTGTCAGGAGGGAGGGGCAAAGGGGTGATGGGGGAGGAGCAACTGGAGCAAACTGGTGCGGGGGGGCCTTTCAGTCTAGTCAGGGCAGAGGACAGTCCCCCACTGCTGCTTGCGGACATGGAGGGGTCTGCGGGTGGAGTGGGCATTGTCAGTGCTGACCCTGGACATGAGCATGAAGGAAGGGTAGGACATAGATTTGTGGGATTTAGCAAATAAATATGCAGGAAACCCAGTTAGACTTGCATTTCAGATAATGAATTTTGCGCCCTGCAACATTTAGGACATACACTAGGTTATTTGTCATCTGAAATTAAAATCTTACATAAAAGGTGACTCTTAAGGGCTTGACCTGTTACGGGGTGGAAGGAGTATGAAATGTGTGGACCCACAGGCTATGAAACATCTGGGGAGGGCATGGAAACTTCAGAAGCTATGTAGTGGAGAAGGAGCCCCACCAGGGGTGTGCCTGCATGCAGAGCCTGGTGAGTTGGGGCATCAACCAAGGGCTGGAGAAGGTGCCGCCGGGAGGGCAGGAGAACCACTGGAAGTCTGATGGGAAGTAAGTATGCTGAGGACCCTGAAAGGGTGGGAGGCCAGACGACAGATGGGCGGTCAGGAGCCACCACGTGCATGCTGTGCGCTTTGGCAGGTGTCCAGGTGCGAGGCCTTTCATGGCCTGACTTTTCTGAGAGGTAAGTGTGACAGGCCAATGGGTGCCCGATACTTCTTTCATCACGGAAAGAGCAACTGTGAGTGCACCACCCGCGTCCTTAGGCAGGTGGGCCCTCTGAGAGGACGCCCCAGTATCCTGCCCCTTGGTAGTGTGGGACTTGAAAGGCTCCTGGCATGGAGGAGCCCTAGCGAAGAAGGGCTGGCTATGCCCCAGCTCCCTTGCAAAATCACCTGCTGGATAGGAGTGGGGCCATCTCTCGTGGGGCCAGTGGTGTGGAAGACAGCTGCGGGAAACGTGCCCCAGGCGTGTCATGGCAGTGGATGGCGCTCACGCATTGACCCCATGTGCCGGGCACAGGCGGTTCCCCATCAGCGTCCACGGCCCTCTCACGGGCAGGTGGTGGTGCCACGTGCGATTTCAGGTGGAATGTGGGCGCGGTGGGGGTGCCGTTGGCGTTCAGGAAGCCTTACTGGGGTGAGCTGAGAACGGTAGGGCGAAGGGATTTCGGAGTGAGTAGGTGAGGGGCTGAGGAGGTGGCGTGGTGAGGTGAGGTGCGAGGGGGTGCGGTCGGGATGGTTGGGTGGGAGGAGAGGCGAGGCGACGAGGAGCGGGCCGTGGCACCTCCCGGTTGCTGTGCCCGTCCCGTCACCCGCCTCTCAGAGCGCGGGGTTCCGAGCTGCGTCCGCCGCAGGTGAGGGACTGGGCCTCAGTCTCCGTGCGCGGAGCTGGAGCGCAGGAGACGTGCGCTTGCGCCTCCCTCCGGCCGCGCTGAAGCTGCATGGGCTCCCTGGGCCCCGCGACCCGGGGCTGCAGCCCTGGGGGCCCGCCTCCGCGTGCCCAGCGGGAGCTGTCGGCCGCAGTGCCCGTGGCAGCTCGGCAGCCCCTCCCGCGAGAGGCCCCGGCTGTCGTGTCCCTGCCCGTCGGCAGGGGGCGGCCCGCCCCGTCCCGGGAGCCCGCCCGCCGCGCTCCTCCCACTCGCGGCCGCTCCTCGCCGCAGACAGGGCGCTGCGGCTGCCCCGCTGGAAGCGCGGGAGGACACGGGCCTCGGCGTGGCCCCCTTAGTGGGGACGCTCCACAGCACCGACGAAAGCACCTCTGTATTCAGTTCACCTGCCACGTCGGAATGGCTCTTTGTTTTTTCTGAATTGAGTTAGTTTAAAAATATATATATTTCAAGGACACATAGAATGTGGCAGACAAATAAGGCAGAATCTGAAAGACAGGCAGATTGATCTGGAAGCAAAAGGAGAGGGGCGTGGGAGAAAGCGCTCTTCGCCTAGAGAACCCGTAAAAACTGGAGGAAGTGAGAGGTGAAGACAGGTGGGGAAGATGCGAGCGCCCGCCGGAGGGAGGGACCGCAGAGATAGGGGGAGGAAACACCTCCCGGGGACCAGCTCATGGCAGGAAGGGTGCTCAGGGCGCCAGGACAACCGAGCACAGGCCATATTTAGAGCCCTTTTCTTATCTTGTTCTTTCTCAAGGTTCCTAGGTGTGGGGCTATTCCCGGAGCTGCCAGAATTCTGCAGCCATCTGACAGGCAGAAATTTATGGCTGTGATGTCAGGGAAACCACTGATAAACCTTATTTCAGACGTGCCCCACCCTCCGTTGGCTCCAATACTGTTTGATATCCAATCACAGGAAGCCAGATCCTGTGAGTCGAGAAACAGAATCCAACTGAGTGGACTGTGGAGACTTTAATGGCCTTACCCCATGCTCCATGAGCCGGGTGGCATCCCTTCTAGCAGACAGGAAGGAGTTCTGAGGAGCGGAGACGGGACAAGGAAGCCATAGAAGGGGGCAGCACTCTGGCCGTGGCAGGGGCGCCCTCTCCGGGAGATGTGTGCGTCCATCGTCCCTCCGGGACGGGCGACCCCTCCGGGCTCACAAGGCCATTCCAGGACTTTCAGATTCCATTCCTGAGGGACGCACAAACTGTAATTAAGGAAGGTGTTGTTAACAAAGAAAATCACAGGCCCCAAATGATGTTCACTATGCTGAGCCAGGTCACCAAACCGGGGCTTACTATCTGACCTAATGGCAGTGTCAGCCTCCCCCAGAGACACGGTCCGCTCAGGAATTTCTGGGTCTGCCGCAGTGAAGTGACTGTTGCATGGGCCTCTCCCTCCCCCAAAGAGAACCAGGGCATCTGCAGAAGGCCCCCATGCTCCGCCTAAGGAAAGGTGGCCTTGCCTGGGACAATCCCTCTTTCTCCTTTGCTAATAACTCCTTGCTCCACCTTCTTCCTATAAAATCTTCCATTTTGTACAATGTGGAGCATCTCTCTACTGGCTAGACGGGATGATGCCTGATTCAGGCTCACTTAAGCCATTTAGATCTTCAGATTTACTTGGTCGAATTTTGTTTTTCAACAGTATTAAGTCTTGGTGTGGTGAAGTGGGGCTTAACATAAGTGACTCCACTGTGGGCTTGTCTTCTTTTTAGCAGAGTGAACTTGAGACATAGGCAGGGTCCATGGAGGTCATGGGAAGTGCTTGCCATCCTAGAAAGTACTTGCATTTCTTCTTGGAAGCCGCCATCCTATTACTAGGTAGAAGAGGACTGGGGGTTTGTGCCTTAGGATGCACCCAAAGACTTCTTGGCACCATTAATTCCACGAGGATTTGTGTCCCTGGAACCCATCCAGAGCTTAACAAGCCACTCTTTAATCCAAATAATGTTGTTGTCTTGAGGACTTGTGGGTCCCGAGAACTGCAGGCTTCTTGGTGCTTTCTTGTTGTTATGAGCAAGAAAGTCCCCACAGTGAAAGGAGACAAGAAACGTTTGTTTCTCACCCACCCTCCAAGCGTGCCTCAGTCCGGAGGTATCGCTCAGAGACCTGTCCCAGAGAGTGCACATTTAAAACCCTGGTTCCTGAAATGTGTTCACAGTTCTCCAGACCAGCAATGGGAACACCACCTGTGTGGGCTAAAGCTGACCACCAAATGAGGGACCTCTAAATTTTCTATTTTTTTTATTGAAGTATAGTTGATATGAAATATTATGTTGGCTTCAAGTATACAACACAGTGATTCAAGAGTTACCCATGTTATTAAATCTATGTTGACAGTTACTATCTGTCAACATAGGAAGATGTCACAGAACCATTGGCTATATTCTCCATGCTGGTGAGTATACTATTGACATTATGATTGAGGTTTTGTGTCTCTTTATCCCCTTCCCCTGTTTAACCCACCCACCTACCTCAGCCCATCCTCCATGGTAACCACCAGTCCCTTCTCCCTGTGAGTCTGCTGCTATTTTGTTCATTTTGTTTTTTGTTTTTAGATTCCACATAATAAGTGAAATCATATGGTATTTGTCTTTCTCCACTTAGTATATTTCACTGAGCATAATACCCTCTATGTCCATCCATGTTGTTACAAATGGTGGGATTTCTTTCCATTTTATGACTGAATAATATTCCATTGTGTATATGTACCACATATTCTTTATCCATTCATCTGTTGATGGACACTTAGGGTGCTTCCATATCCTGGCTATTGTAAATCACATGGCCATAAACATAGGGGTGCATATACCTTTTCAAATCAGAATTGTTGTCTTTGGGTAAATCCCAGAAGTAGAATTACTGGGTCATATGGTATTTCTACTTGTAGGTTTTTTGAGAAACCTCCATACTGCTTTCCACAGTGCCTGCACCAACTTACATTCCCACCAAACTGTAGGAGGGCTCCGCTTTTTCCACATCCTCATCAATGCTTGTTATTTCTTGTCTTTTGGATAGTGGCCATCCTGACTGGCATGAGGTATTTCTCATTGTGGTTTTGATTTGCATTTTCCCTGATGATTAGCAGTGTGGAACATCTTTTCATGTGCCTATTGGCTGTTTGTATGTCTTCTTTGGAAAAGTGTCTGTTCAGGTCCTTTGCCCATTTTTTAATTGGATTATTTGTATTTTGGGTGTTGAGGTATTTGAGTTCTTCATATATTTTGACGTTAACCCCTCATTGGATAAATCGTTTACACATATATTCTCCCATACTGTAGGATGCCTTTTTGTTCTGCTGGTGGTGTCCTTTGTTTGCTGTGCAGAAGATTTTTAGTTTGATATAGTCCCACTTGTTCATTTTTTATTTTGTTTCCCTTGCCCGAGGAGATGTGTCTAGGAAAAATTACTTGCTTATGTTTCAAGAGATTTTTGCCAATGTTTTCTTCTAAGAGTTTTATGGTTTCATGTGTTACATTCTGGTCTTTGATCCATTTCAAGTTTACTTTTGTGGATGGAGTTTAGACACTAATACCGTTTCATTCTGTTGCATGTATCTGTCCAATTTCCCCAACACCCGTT